AAAAATCCCCAAACTACAAATATTGAAATATATAAAAGCGTGATAATATTTTTGTCCTGTATTTTATTTTTTCAAATACGGTCATCTTATAGTAGTGATCCTGTAGTATTGTAGTGTACAGTATACGTGCAGCAGGTCGTCCCTGGCATTGGAATGTGCAGCTGGCAGATGGCTTCGGCAGGGTCTTTTGTTACCAAAGAAAGGGACGGACATGTCCTTGAATCATTATATATATATGTACAACATGTTACCCTTAGACCACCCAGTTAGCCGCCTGGCATTCAGACGACAGTAATATGTACAACGAACGTCCCGCACAAACCGAATGTATTCTTATTATCGTTATATTATATCGTAAAATATAATATTATATAGGTATTATTGTAATTTCGTATGGTTAAAACTCGTATACCACAAGTGCGATTGTATATATATATTATATATATAACCGTCTTGTAGATAATTTTGTCCTCTACAATTTTCGTTTAAAACGTTTTTTTGTACAATCAGTATAAAACGATATATATTAACGCAAAGGCTACTTGTTTTTGGCGAAAAAGCCACATTTCATTAAAAGTGTACATTTCGATGGCTTTATAACGCAAAAACTATACGTTTTATGTGAAAATGTCAAAAAACCTTTTTCGTAGGTAATTACCTCCTCTACATTTTGTATCCAAAACTTTTTACTGTACGACTAATAATCATTTTGTCACCGATTCAGTTTTAATCGTAACAATATTTTATGGCTGGATTTGTTGAGGGGACAGGGGAGTTTAATAGCCACGTATTATACAGCATTGATAGGTTGTGTCATGATACCATTATATTATAATATGATATATCATAAATAAATATATAATATTATATTAACTTTATTTTTTGAAAGGTTAAGCAATTATCTTATTTATTTATAAATACAAACATTTGTCACACGGACGACATAGCAAATTGTCGATTAGTAGTTTTAATAGTGTGCTGTTAGTTTTGATACTAGAGCGAATTGGCCTATTATAAGACTTTTAGGTATGATCATTATATTTGCTTAAGCTTTGCCGATATTTCGAAATTTTCATTTTCAAGCAATATGATATAGTAATATATTTTATGCAGTGGTAAAGCGTTATAGGAGACAATGAGACCAAGTCTACCAACTTAGAAAACGAACGAATGATTTTAAATGTATATCATAGTATCATGTAGTGGCGGCGGTCCTTGTCGACGTGAACATCGCACCCCAGGCCCTAGGGTTTGATTAAAGAAATTAAAAACATTAATTTTATTCTTATATTTTTAATGAAAATTAATTTTATGTATTAAGTTTATGTTTATACACAGCAATTTTTTTAATAGTATTTTTAATACATTTGGTCGAGTGCAAAAATTGAATTGTTTCTCTCATGACTAGATAAATATTTGTTATGGTTAGGTTATTCATGGTATCTCCCATGTAACAGGTGCCCTACGCATAAAAAATCGTAGTCCTAGTCCAATCTAAGCAAAGACGACAAAACGTGTGCATACCTACCTGCGATCTTAGGTACAAATATATAGGTTACACGGTAAAATATTAGTATTTAGTACAGTAGGTAATTAATTTTTAAAATGAACTATATAAACTCAAGTCAGGTCGTCGTTGTCGGTCACTTTTATCTCTATTTTCGATTTAATAATATTTTTATTTTAATATTATAATTGTTAAAAGGTATATTATTTCCATACTGGTATAATAAAATAATAATATAATAGATTTATTTTGTACTGTAGCCAGCGATAAATCGAAAAATATAATTATTAAAGCTTATTAGTAATAATATAATAGGTATGTGTTATATAATTATTTTATAACATTTAATTTGTTATAGGTACCTATAATTATTAATTAGGGATTGTGGATATCATATTAAATCACGACGTATCATATTATGCAAAATTTTTTTTGTCATTATCATTTTAATAATAAAAAATAATAAAATAGGTACTTAACTTTATCAGCAATATTATAGTAAAATTGTTGAGCGGCTAATATTAAATATAAAATAGAATCTCGGGATGTAATTGTTGTTATACGATCGTTAACTATATTATGGAGTGCCATATAATATACATTCCGGATTTAATCATTTTGGGATAATTAAACACCATAATATTTAAAAAGGTGGGCAAATGGGTGTCGCTCTGCTGTATAGTAGGTAATAAGTGGGTCACTGTATAATGGATGATATTAAATTTGAATTCAACGATATAATATCATTGTATAAGAAAAACGATTCTGAGCGGAGACGGTATGTCAGTCTAGGTATAAAACATATTATATACATATCTATGGTACTAAATCAAAATTTGACCTATAATAGGTACCTATAATGAATTCAAAATTAATCATATCACAATATTCATTAGGTACCTACTTATAACGCGTTATAAACCAACAACAAACCCTGATACTATCATAGATATATAGTAGTATACTTTAGAAGTTTTAAGTACCCACGAAAAATATTATACAATCACAACAAATAACTAAAATAGTTATTCTAGGTTTTATTTATGTAATTTTGTCCAAAATTGAACTTAAATTAACTATAAAAGTAAACTGCGCTTATGTATGATTTTTCGGTAACAGAATTAACTGTGTACGTGGAATCTTGTTATAAATTTTCAATCCTTAAATATAAAAGTTGAACATTTTATACATTTTTAACTACAAAATAATTATTCAATTTTAAATTTGTTTTTTTTTTGTCAAAATTTGATCTTTAAATCCTTATAAAAAAAATTGTGCATATGTATTTTTAATATTTTTCAACTGATATTGTAACAATATATCAGGAGCCTTGTATTAAATTTTTACACTTTTTGGCACAACAGATAAAACTTAATTGATATTTATAGAAAAAAAAACTAAAAAAAATTGAAAGCTGTAAATGTCCTTAAACAGCTCAAAAGAGTCAAAATATTTTCAAAATTGTATGGTGCACAGGAAATGCTAATATAAATATTCAGTGAAATTTTCATGTATCTACAGTTATTCGTTTTTGAATTACAACAAAATTAGGAAATCGCTACATGAGAAATCGAGTGAATATCCAATATTGTAAAAATTTGAATTTCAAACGCTCATAAAAATTTAATTGGACTCTCCAGTAGAGATTTTTTTATTGATAAATGTAGACAAACTTATGAGTAATCTTGTATTACATTTTCAAATCTTAGATTTAAAAAGAAAAACTCTTAACTCGAAATAATTTGCTAATTTTCGTGATTTTTCCATATTTTGTCAATTTTTGAACTTTAAATGCTTATAAAAAAAAATTGTGACTAAGGATTTTTTATATTTTTCATCTGCCTTTGAAACAATATACTAGGAGCCTTCTATTAAATTTTCAAGCTATCGCAACCAACAAATAAAATTTTATTGATATTTTTAGAAAAAAAACTAAAAAAAAATGGAAAATGAAAATGTCCCTAAACAGTTCAAAATAAATCAAAATATTTTGAAAATGTTATATTGTATAGAAAATGCAAATATAAACAACCAGTAAAAATTTCATGTATATACGTTCATTTGTTTTAGAGTTACACCAAAAACCAAAATCGATTTTTTGGAAAATCGATTTTGCGTAAAAATTCCCGTTTTTCCTTAATTTTTATGTTGTTTTTCACGGCGCTTGTGAAAACTACTGGGAAATTTTTACTTTTGACCCCCCCAAAGTACCAACTAGATTCACTTTCCTATCAGAAAAGCTACTGTTGAAGAAAACCCAAGCAATTTTACTGTCCTAAAACGTGATGACAGTCACAAAAAAAAATAAAAAACTAAAAAAAACACACATCATTGTAAAATCAATACATTCATCGTTTCACTCAGAATCCAAAATTAAAATCAATGGGGCCAGCTCGGGGCCATTGAAATTTCTTAGGGGGCCTTGCCTTGTCCCCTATTTCCCTCCCCTGGATGACGTGCCTGCGGCTTTAACTCTATCGTAGTTAAACAATATAGGTAATATGATAATATAATGTAATTTATTACAATTCATCATATTTATCCTACTAGACATTATTTATTCGGTTTGTAGGATTCATACGTATATTTGTTAGGTATATAGAATATATAGTATACATCCATGAATATAATTTGAATTTGTTTCATTTATAATTTATATGAAAAATATTAATTAAATATGTACATTACATTTCAAGATAAACATTTGAATGGGCCAAACAGTATTGATAATGACAGTCAAAGGTTATTCGTATCGTCGTTTTCTTGTACAGATTATTATTTAATACTTGATGCTTTGCCGCGTTTACTTAAAATTTTACATCAAGAAGCATGTTTGTAGGACACTTTAAAGATTTATTTCCTGTTATACTTATACGGATTTTAATGGAAATAATCTCAAATAATACTAATTAATTTCATGATTAGAGATTATTTTAATGTAAATAGTAACATCCGTGGGAAATTGTACTTTGTACACACATAATGCTTGTGGGTATTTCTGATAAAATAAATAATATAAGTAAATAATGTGATAGTGTTGATATAGTATTATAAATTATGTAAATATGTTAACGTATAATATATTGGGATCATCTCAATAATTATAGTAGATAACAATATGCGGAGGACAATTTCAATATAATATGTTTTTCACTTTATTATTATATGTTCAATATTAGAGTGCTTATCTCGGACCAATTTCATTGGCAAATATTATAATCGTTAGTGAAAAAAGGGACCTGTTGAACGCATTTTCGTGTCGCGAAACGAATATTATATTTTAAATTTTGATTGTTGCATGACTTAGGTCGTAGATAACATGATTGCTACTCTATGTTAGCAGTGCGATCGAGTGTTTCGTTCTATCGTTGTGCATAGATGTTTTTCGGTCTCGGCTGTACTATATTAATATAAAATAATAACATAATTTTATTATATAATATATAGAGGTTTCGCTGCAGTTTTACACGGTGAATTGTCGATCCTAAGCACCATGGAAAACGAAATTATTCCTCTGTAAGGAACGCGACTGCGAGTGCTTTAATATTTTCTGTTTGTGTTTTATACCCGCTTTATATTTACGGTTTTTCATTTTATAAAATTACCTACTTGTATAATATCTATCATTCTATGTACGATATTGTTCAACAGTGGCAGAATAATAATTATCGTTTTTTTTTTCCAGGTTAAGCGAAAGCTCCAAGTACGGGTCTCTTAATGAAGACGTGCAGTTCGTGATCCCGACACCGACGATGAACCGAGCTTTTGTGAAGCAACCATCAAACGGTTCTGGTAAATTAGTGTACTGCATACATGGCAAACCGTCCGGCTGTTGCGGCACTCTACAGGTGTCGATGCCCGAAGACAACAATTCCAACCACGAGACCCCCGACCCTGTAGACGCAAAACCGTCCATCACGATCTGTAAGTGCCCGTCTACCTAACATAATATCACATATGTACATATTTTAATTCAAGGCTGGTGCATTAACGAGTTAAAGTTAAGGTAAAAATTAAATTTTGTTTTAACTTTTTAACTTAACTGTTGACTTAATTACTAAATTAATTTTTTAATTTACCTTAAATTTACGTTAAATTAACGAATTCATGTTTCATTTTAAGAAGTAAGTTTAGTTAATTTATTTTCATTTTAATTTAAATATATTTTACTACCTATTAGAGTCTATTTCGTTTTCATGTCAAGAAATATGTACCGTGAATTGTTTGTGAAAAGTTAAAAATGTATATCATTCGAATCTAACTTATATGGAAATACCTACTCTATAAAGACACTCTAAACACTATAGTCTATAATAGTGTGTATTAACTTTTAACTTAGCCGAGTTAACCTATAATTATATTAACTTTAACTTTTGTTATTGGTGCATATCAACAAAACTTAACCGAGTTAAAAAAAATCATCAACTTGCCCAGCCTTGTATCTTATAATATACGTCAATGCGTTATGTAAATATATAACTAGTGGCTAGTATAATAACGTCTACTGCAGTCTTATTAAAATAAGAAATCGATAAGCGCGGAAACGCGTTTCAATACAATTCTACACTTAAGTAGGCATTAAAATAATTAAGTACTATAATTTTGGTTTCATGGAAATAAACTGTTTTTAATCGTTATAATGATCATAATATAACAAAATGGTATGAATGATGAATAGGTATATAAAAAAACTGCTTCTACGTAGAAAGTGAGTTATAACGTTAATCTTTAATGTTCTATCAATTATATATATATAATAGATTACTGTAATTAAAAAATGGTAATAAGTGGTGTATTTTAATGTGAACAAATTTAATTACAATTTCCGGTAGTAAAAATACCGATAAAATATCGAGTTGTATTCTAAATAACACTATTGAACTATTGAACGTTTTATTAAAAATATATAGCGTTTACTGTATAATATTTAATATAATATTATATAGTTACACAAAAAGATAAGATTAAACGAATGTTTAAACAAAGTTAATGATGATTGATAATACTGTGTAATATAATAGGTTTTTTTTATTTGATAAGATTTTTCATTGAAACACCATTTCTATAATGAATAAAATGCCTATACACAATATATAAGAACTAAAAAACGTTTATATTATACATCTTTTTTTCTACCTCTGATCTATGCTAAAACGGTATAACTGTTAATAATAACTATTTGCTTTCCCAGGGTCTGTAATATGCCAAAATGACCAACAATATTATTATAATGGAAATATTATTATTGTGGAATATATTATGATTGTGTGTAAGGCGAACAGGTCTTAGATCATCCTAGAACCCAAATGAGAAGAGTTTTTTGAACAGGAAATTTTGGTATATATGATTTTTCGTTTAAATTAGGTACATTTGTTCATTTGATTTTAATCAATATATTCATATTATACGTAATGCAACAACTTTATGCTCGGAAAAATGAAGTTTGTGTTCCTTAGCTATAAAAGTTGAACATTTTACAAGTTCAATATTCGTTACGGATAGCATTCAATTTGAATTCAATAATATAATATCATTAGATTATACGAAAAACGATTCTGAGCGGAGACGGTTTGTCAGTCCAATATATTTTATATTGTTATTATTTATTATAGCCTGTTAGGTAGTTGGATTAATATTATAAATTACAACAAAATAACACTAAACACGTTATTCGTGACAATTTTTTATTCGTCTCTATGGTGTTATGCAAAGCGTTGGAAATTAAATTCCCGTTTTAAGCGGTTTTTCGTATTTATATGTAATTTTTCCAGTCGCATTAAATAGGTAACTATATTGAGAAAATAGAAAAATGACTCGCTCCACTGCGAATCTAAAATAAAATGCTACTAGTATACTAGCAGCTGCTATTAATCATTCGTATGTTTATCTTTATAATTAAAATTTTTTCTACATACAATTCTGGACTGCAGGCTGCAATACTCTACGATAACCCCCCCCCCCCCCCAACCAAAACTTCATTTAATGGTGCTTTAAAAAATAAAAATAAACACCTTTGTAAAACCACTAAAAACAGTTCTAAAAGTTGTGATACAATTCTATTGAACTATAGATAATAATATCATTGATGTTAAAATAGTCTGCTAAATAATTTAACTTAGCAATTTTACAACATTTGATTAGGTAGTAAAACAATTTCAATGATAGTATAGACTATATTATTATTATTATGTATGATCAGAGGCGGAACTAAGAATTTTTACGCCCGGGGAAAATATTAAAATTCCACCCAATCATAGACCTAGGTTGAAAATATAATAATATCATTCCTACAATTGTTTTATAATAACTGGAAGTAAATTTATACTTATTGACTTTTAAACTCATATTAATATATAATAATTAATATATTCTGTGGACTGAGGTGTAACCAAGTTCACTAATATACTATATAAAAAAAATTCAGATTTATGAGTGATTAACAAATTTTCAATGAGTCGGACTAACCCACCTGCCATAGCATAGACCTAAATATTTTTCAAAATTTGAGTGGCCTAAACCACATTAAAACTTAACCAACAATAATTGGATTAATGCTTTATAGATGGCTTAAAAGGCCATCATTGATACATAAAAAATTAGCTTATTATTTTCTTTAGAGTGGATTTTATAAGAAAAATAATCAAAACATTACCTGTCTTGTATAAAAATAAAAACACTTTTGCTATTTTGGTTCCATGCGCCTCAGCCCTCAATTATAACTAGACTATTTCAACATCAAAGATATCTATAGTTCAAAGATTTCTAATTAGATGATTGTATACTTATTATATAAATTACTTCATTATTTAACCAGAAAATTTCTGTTCTTTCTCAAGAAATCTTTTTTCGTGAATCGTGTGGCTTCCTAGTTACTGTTATATTTTATTTGGCTAGTTTTCACGTGTTGAATTGCCTATGTGTGCATTTTAATAATTATTTCTCTTTATACTTAGTGCAACCCTAATATAATTTTGTTGTCAAAATATATAATTTATTATAATATAAATGTGTGTATCTAATATACTAGTAGGTGTAGGTACCTAGTAGCTAATGCAGTATATAATATAATTGATTAATAATAATAATTATTTTTAAGATCATGTGCAATGCTATTGTATTTAACGAGTACCTAGGTATAAAGCAATGGAAAAAAAAATCACACGATTTGTAAAACGTTTTGGACACACAGGGCCGGAGCGTGGGGGGTTTAAGGGGTCGTCACGACCCCTCACTCATTTAACCTAATATTTCAGTCGGCACATTTTTGTCGTTTGGCATTAACATCACCAGTTACCACAGCTTCAAATGAACTATGTTTCAGCAAGCTAAAATTAATCAAAAACCATTTAAGAACTACTATGACCAGTTCCCGATTAAATGATTTGATTATACTTGATTCTGAGAAAGACATTTTAGATAATATTGAAATGACAAATATGATACAAATATGGCATCGTTAAAAGAAAGAAGAATTTCGGTGTAATATATAATTATTATATATATAATTTTTTTATAATTTTTGTATTTGGAATGCACATTCTGACAATGTTAAATGATATTTTGTAAAATGTAATATATTATAATACTTATTTGTTATAAAAAATAGTTATTGTTTTATGATGCTCATTTAAAATCAAAATAGATAGAGATACTAAAAAATCAGCTTCGATCAAAAACTCTAAGTAAAAACTAAAAAGGCAATATTATTGGTAAATAGTGATTTAAATAATTGAAAAATGTCTCTAGGATTTTGTTTATTCTTTATCATATGATACAAAAACATTATTAGTTTTATTGTTTTATTTATAAACGGTTTGACGAATTTTTACTCTGGAACAATATCATAATTAATAGTGAATATTGAAAAATATGTATAAAAACATGCATTTATCAAGATTTTATAATAAGTTTTTGCTCCAACATAGTATGGAATTGTCGAAACAAAAACTTGACATTTTGAGTGTCGCAAAAATTTTTTTTTAGTGTCTTATAATTATGCATGAATTTCAGTCGTCACTTTCGTTAACCACGACCCCTCACAAATATTAGCTAACGCCGGCCTTGTGGACACAGATTGTTTCTACTAAGTATTACTACAAAAATCATTTGAGCTTTGATCGAATTATTTCGTGTACCTAAGGTTTTACAGTAATAAATCAAATTTTGAACATTTAACGACAGCAGTCGACGAAACCAAGGAGTTACCAATAAGTCCTAGGTTTAACCGGTGTTGGTAAAATAATAAAAATATATAAAATAATATAATATATAAAGCCGAGAACCAAATTAATTTATAACTGTTAAATGAAACTAAAATTGACTTTGTTCGATTTCACGTTAAATGAATAAAAAAAAAAAAAAGTACTCTGCTGTACAGTAGGTTACAAGTAGGTAGTATTAAATTTGAATTCAATGATATAATATCATTGCAAAAGAAAAACGATTCTCAGCGGAGACGGTATGTCAGTCTATGTATAAAACATAATATTATATACTTATCTATCGTATTAAAAAAAATTTACCTAAAATAAGTACCTATAATAAATTCCAAATTAATCATATCACAATATCCATTAGGTACTTATAATGCGTTATACGTCAACAACAAACCCTGATACTATTATTGTCCATACTAAATAGAAATATATATAATAGTGTACTTTAGAAGTTTAAAGTATATACTTTAATAATAATATACACTAATAATATTACACAATCACAACAAAATAACTAAAATAGTTATTCTAGGTTTTTTTTTATGTAATTTTGTCCAAAGTTGAACTTAAAATGACTATAAAAATAAACTGTGCTTATGTATTTTTTAGATTTTTTGGTAACAGAATTAACTACTTACGTGGAATCTTGTTTTAAATTTTAAATCCTTAGATATAAAAGTTGAACATTTTATACATTTTTAACTACAAAATAATTATTCAATTTTAAA